TGAGAGTTGTTAGGGGGTTGGTTATAGGTGGCTTGGTGGAGGAATTATATTGTTACTGATATAAATTTTCCGTCTCTTGTAATCTTGAGATTATTCATGGAACGTTGACACGGTTGACAAGGGATTGTAAAGAGGTTGACAAGGGATTGTAAAGAGGTTGACAAGGGATTGTTAAGAAATTTTCTTTGAAACTGAGACACTGATAGCATCAATTTTCATCATTCCAATTGACAGCAGACGTCTGTCCCTGCAATTCCACTAAAAGTAAGTGTTTGATGACGTCACTAATTGCGAATGGCCTTAAATATTTTGAGATTAGTGACGTCACCAACACTTATTTTTAGTGGAATAGCAGGAACCACAGACGTCTGACTGAAAATTGGAATGGTGCAAATTGATGCTTTCAGTATCCCCAATATGTATAAAAAAAATCAAGAAAAACCTCTTTAATCTTAATCCCTTTAACTACCATACGATCTATGGATATGAATTCGTGACATTGATTTAAAACGCCCATGTTATGTTTGAAAGTATATGTTCTTCTCTTTTTTTTGCTTTAACAATTCATCACAAGGGACATAACTGATTCGTGTTTTTTTCTAGGTTGTTGGCGGAAAGCTGTTCACGTCGTCGTACGACGGAAGTGTAATGGTGTGGGACTGTACAGGAATCAAAGACGATACAGTCTTCAGCACCGACGAAGACAAAGAAAAATCCAAAGACAAGATCCAAGAAATGGAGAAATTTGGTGGTGACGTCATTCCCGTGGATAACAACCAGAACAACCAATCGAACACACCTGAAAACAAAATAATGATTGAATAACCAATCGAAGACACCCGAGAAAAAAATCTGTCTGATGCAGTGATGATGTTGAATACAAGGTTTTAGACGTATTTCATTCAAGTTCATCTTTGAAATTTTTGATTTGATAGCGGGTGCTGCTCGTTTAGTTTCATTTGATATTTTTGTAGCTTGATTTGACAACTTGAAAGGTAAAGATTTGGTGTTTTTGTCGGTTCCTATGTTTTATTTGTAGGCAATCATATATCACTTGTTGAATTTTGTAAATATATTTTATAGATTTGTTGTTAATGTTTTGCCAGGCATGGAGTTCTCGATTTATCTTCATTGATAAGGATTACTGTTATCACCAAACCAAACATAACAAAACTTTTTTACAGTGCCATGAAAATAACCGTCAGGGTTAGGCGATAGGTGGCAAACATAATATGAATTTTGGTTGTAAACAATATTGCACGTTTTTACACTGTAATTATTTGGGTGGAAAAATATATCAAAATTTCTGGCAGCCTGGCTGCTGTTATCGTAGTAATTTCAGCTTTTATGATGTTTTATACTGTTGTTTCCCATTAAAAACCTACATTTTAGATTCTATATCTGAAGTGTTTGTTTCTATCCAATTCTATATCTGATTTCCACATCCGTCGTGCTCTGTCATCTGTGATATTTTTTAAAGAGTAATTTTCTAATATCCGTCCAATCAATTCTGCTTTAACTAGACCTCCATCTCATGCTGATGCATGTTTCGGATAAACAACCCTCATCAGGACAGCTTATTTTGTATATGGGATTAACTTTCCATTAGGGATTTTGATTTCGAATTTCGACCATCCTACTAGAATTTTTTGTCTATTTGGTGGAGATTCGAACTCGTGGCACGCAAATAGATGGAAATATGATAAAAATCCGTACAAGCAAGACAATTCCGTCAATCAAAAAATAGACTGTAATTCTCTAATTCGAGATAATGAGATTTTCAGATCGATAAAATAGATTTTTCTATCTCCCTCCAATTTCCTCTGTGCAAACAAGATTTGCTAAATTTAGCATTTACAAATGATAATAAAAACTGCTGTTTTTTTTTCTTCTGTTATTTATATTTTTATCATCGTGTACATTATTTTAAGATGTATTAGGTACTTTTTGAGGCAGAGGTCAACATTTAACGGCACCTTTACAGCCAAGATTTTCTAAATACGGCGCCCACTGCGCTTCTCTTTCCCATTTTTCTGCTGTATTCAAACTGCTGATACGATGTATATTGTTGTTTTTTTTTTGACAGGGC